TGAGCAATACCGGGGGGGGGTGTTGGACGGGGGCCGAGCACCGACAGACCGCCACGGAGTGAACCTGCAGCATCTGTGCCGTGAATTGCGGAGCGTACCCGCCCGTCGAGGACATACTAACATGATATCATTCCGACAGACATGGCCGAACACCACCCCTAAACGTTTGGTGGAGTCTATCTGGCGTCCTGGGACTCATCTTATCCCTGGAAGCTCTGCTTGGTAGTACGGAGTATTCTAAAGCCCACTGTAAGAAGACAACGAGAAGTATGTACTCCATCGTGAGTTCTGTCCGCCGTACCCGTTCCTTAGATTCGGGTCCAAATGGTGGGATGGGGCCGACCGATGCAACTTTCGCCTGTACGCGCTACGTAAAAACAAGGATGCATAAGCCTGCGGACCCTCACAGCACAGCCGTCTGTGACCGTCTAGCGTGCCTTTTGCGAGGCGCAGAAACAACCATGACATCGAGAACGGACAAGACGAAATTGCAACCCACCATTGTGGTTCAAATGGAATGCCGTTATAGCTGACGTGAGATATTCCATAATCATATCGCAGAGCCCATCATGCTTAGCAGCCTATTTACATTGGGTTCACTTACCGTTGAGGAGTGCCTTAGCACAGCTCGGCACCAGACTAGAAAGCCTTTCAGGCGTTGCGGAGCCTGTCAAGCACCGCGTGACGCGTGCCTCTGCAGCATCCACACAGTGCCTTTTTCCTCGCTCACCGCTGAGTCTTTCTCCGTCAGTCGTGTCTCGGCTTCTGTAGCTTATTCTGGGGATCTTTCTCTCCCTCAAACCCCGTGAGTGCAGATGCGCCGCAGCCGCCTACGGGATGGACTGTTCGCTTAAGCTGCAGAAGGTCTGGTCACCGGCGGCGGCGTTCGCCGGGAAACATACTGTTCCCTGTGCGCCTCGTTCTGTCGAGGCCCGCACACTGTTCCCGGCCTCCCACGCCTTCATGCCTGGGGGAGCTTGGCACGCCGTTCCTTGCTCCACAGAGACCGGCCGCGGGATCGCGGACCAAGCCGACTGTTCTGTTTTGGCCGACCTGCATGTGAGGGATACGATACGAGGACCGCAAACGAAAGGGTTCGAAAAGTTTGCACCCGCGCTCCCATTTCGTGCTTCGGACACAGTTAGGCTCCGAGATCTGGAAGTAAACGCAGACCTCTAAAATCCTTGGAAGCCAGTCTCTTGTCACCACTTGAGGAATCGGATACGACGCACCCTATGGTCTCACTCAATCCTTGGCATCACCCGACGACACTACATCGGGCCCCGACCCGAGCACACTATACATATCCCTACCCGCGTCGCCTTCACGCATACCACAGTCAATGCACATGGTGGAGTTCATTGCTCGCCTACGGGCTTTGAAGTCTGCCCACTTCGGTTTAGGCTGCTGCAAATGACTCACGGTCGAGGTTTGCGGACACGGTAGAACTGATAGCACCGAATGACGCCGCCCTAGCAGATTCTGCACCCCAGCCACAGTAGTGGGTCCGCTTTGCCCACAGAGACGTTCCAACTGGCAGCCACATACCACGTCTGGACCATGGCCCTAGCACGCAGGTGCGACAGAGTGTGGTGTGACCATAGGTTCGACCGCCGCACTGTCGCCGGCGCGAGATTATTGGAACACCGCAAGACAACTGTTGCGATTCTACCGCCCATTCACACTTCGGAGAACCCTGGAACCGGTCAAGCAGGAATCTTGCAAGGGGCTGTGAGGAGGCTCCGACTGAATCGTTAGGATTTCAGCCCTTCGACGCCATGGCCCGAAAGACGTTCTTGCATGAGCCCTCCCGATAGAGAGCCAAGCACAACAAGCCCCGAACGATGCAACGGCAGAAGTCAGGGGACTCGGTCTGCGACCTGTGGGCCAAGCTGTGGCCCATCATTCATGACCACACAGTTACCCCCAGATCCAAAGGGGACTTCGATCCTGGAACGTGCCGGTGTTATGAGATCCTTGCCGGACGCTGTTACGGCATGGCTGCGTTTCCAGAATCTCGTTGTATTCGTAAGAAAGCACATTCCTGGAACTCTGTCCGCATTTTAGGTTTGTCCGACGATGCGGGTTAAGCGAGGTCGGCGTGCTCTTTTCTGGGCTGAAAGATTTTGCGTAAGCCGAAGCGAGCTTTTGCAGATAAGGAAAGAGGATTGCGACGTGTCCCGTGTGCCACGTGGTTTTCATTGGTGTCCATGGTGCCGGAGCAGTGCGTGCAGTGACCCTTTGGATGGGAACCCGAGGCACACGAATGTTCGTGCGAGACGAGCGGCCTCTTTGATAGCTGACTAGCTGACCCGATGAGGAGCGCAGCGCACATTGGTCTGAGTCACGGGAAACGTGTAGAGATCCAGCGAACATATGCGTTCGCAAGCACTCGCGTGCACGACCCATGGACGAGGAATCTCATGAACAGCTCATTGATCGGGTTATTGAATGCAGCCTGATTCACAATCACAGATCTGGGCGGGGTTTGACACGAAACACCACTGCTAGCA